CCCCCTTTCAGATGGCCTTGAGCCAGACCCATCAGAAAGAGGGAATGAGGCTTGGAGCACAAGTTCCTGATGCTGAGCTGGACTCCTCCCACTCTGCCATTAGCACCGGCCCTGGCGCCCTGACCCCTCTGCCTGGCTCCCTGCCTGTAGCTCCATTGTCCCAGACCTGTGTGCTCAGCACACGTGAACTGAGCTAGGGCTTCCCTACACCCAGCCACAGGATGTCCTTGTGCATGCGGGAACTGCTGGGAAAGCCACCCTGCCAACATCAGGATTGGAGTGGGACAGCCAGCCCAGCCTGAAAGCTCTGCTCCCACAAAGACCATGAGGCTGGGCTGGTGGTGAGCACGGGAAGCTTCTAGCTAGGGCCGGTCTTTATTTCCAGCAGAGCTGCCTACTGGCTCTGTAAACCTCTAAGTGCCTATTATCCACAAGTGGCAGGGTTCACTGTCTAGGCCTTCGCCCAGGCTGTTCTTCCTGTCCTTATCCTGACAATGTGCGGGACCTGCTGCTGGCCAGTGATGCCCCTGAGGGCCAGGAGCAAAGACATCCCATCCCCTTCCTGACTCTGGATTCCTTTGTCCCTAAGGGGCAAAGGCACTGGGGTTCCTGCCAGATTTGCTCTGTCATTTAGAGTTTCTCTACCCCTCAGGGCTTCAGTGGCCCCAGCTGTAAAGTGGATATTGTAAAGTGGGTAAGGCTCAGGTTTGCTGAGGGAAGGAAACTTGGGGGCTTTGGCATGCTGGGGCTGGCAGGTGGAGGCAGTTACACCTACCCAGTTATGGTGCTCCTGCCCACTGCATGAGCAGAAAGCTCGGGTGGGAGAGTGGGATGGCTGCCGTGCTGCACAACAATGTGGTATAGCCAAGGCCTGGGTACCCATCTTCAGGCCCCTGCAGCCACCCAGCGGGAGCTTTTCCAAGTGCTCCTCCTCACAAGCTTGGGATGGAGATATGCTATGTCTCTAGAATGCATACTTGGTCCTGGTCTTTTGAGATCTGTCTCCTTCCATGGTCTTCTCATGCCACAGCCTGACCCATCTCCCTGCTGTCCTCAGCATACCCTGAACTTTCTCTGACCTCGGGAACATCAGCAGAGACCATCTCCTTCCTAGTCTGGCAGCAAATGATGTGATTTAAAGCAAGGGCTCTGGAGTCAGCTAAACTAAGGTTTAAATTTTGGCTCAGCCACATGCTTGCTGTGTGACATCACTTCTTTCAGCTGGATCATCTGCTCTGTAGGATGAAGATAACAGTGAGAATGAACTGAGATAAGAATGTGCCACAGGTGTGTCCAGGGCTTGCCTGGCTCATAGTAAGTGCTTCATCAATGAGAACTGCAGGCATTATTAACAAAAAGCATCAGACATCATTAACCATATGTGCTGGAAAGCTTTAGTGTCAACTTGACACACCTGGGTTGAGGGAGTCTCAATTGGGGAATTGCCTCCATTGGACTGGTCTGTAGCCATGTCCATGGGGCACCTGCTTGATGAGTGATGTGGGAGGGCCCAGCCCACTGTGGGTGGTGCCACCCCTGGGCAGGTGGGCCTGTGTTGCATAAGAAAGCAGGCTGAGCAGGGGCCAGAGGAGCAAGTCAGTAAGCAGTGTTCCTCCATGGCCTGTGCTCCAGCTTCTGCTTCCAGGTTCCTGCCCTGAGTTCCTACCTTGGGCTCCCTGATGAGCTGTGACCTGGGAGATGTAAGCTGAATAAACCCTTTCCTCCCCAAGTTGGTAGTGGTCAGAGTATTTTGTCACAGCAATGAAGAAACAAACCAGGACACCATCCTAGGCTATTGCTTAGAAGACTTGGAATTTATATTTTAGTGTATGTTATTGATTTTAAGTATTATTGGTATCACAGTGAACTCCTAGGCATGCTTCAACACCTTACTTAGGCATCACCAAGATTTGGTGTTTCTTGTCAGTTCCCCAGCCTTCAAGTACTTGAAGCTGTGCAGGTGGTGGATAGGGCCAGACAAAGGGCATCTCCTACTCTGCCTCTCTCTGCCCTCTTCCCACCAAGCACAGACAGGCAGAGAGAAGGCAATTTGTTACTCTTCCCCCTAATGTGTGCAAGCCCTTTGCAACTCAGCTTTTCCTTGTCTAAATTCTGATCTGATCTCTGGTAGGTCTTGGGAGGCAGGGCCAGCAGGAAAGCATTCTTTCTGTAGATGTGAGGAAATAATATGGGCCCTGGCTAATGTAAACAAGGGCCTATGTTGACCCAGGCCACGCCTTGGCGGGCAGGGCATGAAGCACCTTCCCCTACAATGTATCATCCAATACTCAGAGCCACCCAGGGGAGCTGCTATTTTTAATCTTCATTTTACAGATGAGGAAGTTGGCTTGCGGAGCTGGCTCAGACTGGCTCGTGAGAGTCAATTGTTAAATTTTCAGGAATTGTGTGAGGTGCTTGGTAGACACTGCCATTGTTCAGAACAAAGTTATATAAACTTACAATTGAATGATTGATATTAAAAGAAACTGATAATACTTGAAGTCATCATTTCCTAATTATTTTCCTACATGGGGCTATTTGTGTTTTTGTTTTTGAGTCCCTAGGCTAGGCCTCAAACTCATAGATTTACCTGCCTTTCCCTCCTGAGTACTGGGATTAAAGGCTTGTGCCACCACACTGGGCTGTTATCTATGTTCTTTAGGTAATCAAATGTGTTGGAAACTCTGTAGTTCCCAGCTTCCCAGCTCTGGGGGTCATATCTCCTCAGTGACTTGGCAGCAGGGTGGGAGTGTTTATACTGTGGAGGAAGGCAATCTGCATGAATCTGCAATCTGTATGCATCAAGGGCCTCTCTTCTGTCCCTTTTGCCTGTTTTTATGCATTTACAGCATACCCCTAAGACACAGAAGCTGTGACCTGGTGAAGGTCCCCAGTTAAGAAGACGCAGAGCTGGGCTTGAACCCAGGCAGGGCTCTGCCCAAGGATCAAATCACAGACCTGAATTATCAGATCCCCAGTCCTGTGCTCAGAGTCAAGTAGAGGGAGGGACTCTTCGGGCTCTGCTCCTCCCTGCAGCTTTCTTTGCCCTGCCTACCTCTCTCCTCCTCCCTGGGGGTTGCTGAGCCACATACACCAGAGCCCAGAAGGCTGAGGGCAGCAGCAGCTCGTCTGCCCCACCCGGCTTTTGTCTGATCATCTGCCCTTCAGCTGTAGGACTGCCTTCCATGGGTTGCCTTGTTGTATGACCTGGCCTCTACCCTACCTTGTCTGGGTCTCTTCATCCCATCTGGGACAAGCCCCTCTAATCACTGACAATGGCATCCCCTCAAAGTCCTGTAAGATCTTACCATGTTCTTGTCCCAGTGGAACAAAACCAGGTCATGTTATCCCTTTGCTCAGAGTCCTATAGTCTTTTCTTGTCTTACCCAGGGAAGCTCCCGCTCCACTGGTCTCTCAACCTTATCTTTCTACTCCTTGCCCTCTGGGTCCCTTGTTCTTCTAAGGGGCTAAACACACTCCCACCCCCTGGGCCTTTGCACTTGCTGTTCTTGCTTCAACATTTGTATGAATTGTTTTCTTCCTCTTGCAGGTCTTTGCTGAGTTGTGACTTCTCTGATCCCTCTATTTAATACTGTAACATCTGCTTTCTCTCTCACACATTATATTATAAACATTTATTATAACATCCAACAGACTTTAAGACAACACTTCATTCTAGCTATAGGCAGCAAAAGATGTTCTGGCAGGGCATACAGAGGTTTGAACAGGAGTGAATCATACATCACCGTTATCTCAGGTCCAAGAAACAGCTTGTTTTTGCCAGATTTCTTAATTCCACCTGTGGCTGAAGGCCTTCCTGATGGGCTTGGCTTTTGAGTTTCGGGTTCCTTTCCGTTTCTGAAGTCTCATCTCCTTCATCCATCTGCTCAGCCTGCTTCTTCAGCTGTCTCAACAACTGCTTCTTGCCACCCCTTCCCCAAGCCCTGGTCCTTCACACACACCTCTCTTATCTCCTGCTTCTGCCCTTTGATCCTTAGTTCTCCCCACCGTCTTACAAGCCATGTTAATTATTACCGCTATTATGTTATTTTCTGTCTGTTTCTCTTCCTAGAATAAAAGTTTCAAGAAGGTAGGAATCTGTGTTTGTTTACTGATCTGTCGCAAACACCCAGCGTTGGTGCATTGTAGAGGACCCTCCCCTAATAATAAACTGATGCATGCCCGAGTGAGTGAATAAATGAACAGTGGGGTTCCAGGGTTCAGCCTCTACAGCCTGCTGGGAGTGAGAGTGGCTGGGTGACCTGGCAAGTCGTAAGATTGGAGCTCCAAGCCCAGGTCTGCCCTCATTTGCTGTGTGATCTTAGGCAGATCTCTCTCTCTCTCTCTCTCTCTCTCTCTCTCTCTCCCCCTCCCCTCTCTCTCCTAGCACACATGAGACCCTGGGTTTACTTTGCAGCACCATATAAACTGGGTGTGGTGATGTATACCTGTATTCCTAGTACTTAGAAAATGGAGGGTCAGAAATTCAAGGTCATCCTTGGCTTCATATTGAATTTGAGGCCAGCTTGAGCTACATGAGACCCTGTCTCAAAAAGTAAACAAGCAAACAAAGAAAGCCAAATGACAAAGCCTAAGGAAGTCAGGCTCTGGAGTCATACAGGCAAAGGTCCCATTCCCCACTGGGACATTTATTGCCTATGTGGCTTTGGCAAGTCACCTTTGCTCTGAGTTTTGTCCTCATCTGTGAGGTGGGAAGCTCCCCAAAGTGCTGTGGTAAGCTCTTGCCATAGCACTCTGTGGGAGGGAATGTGCAAGGGCTCATGGGACATGGGACAACCTGGAGGTGATGGAAGAAGTGAGGTCTCTATCTTCTAACCCCATGCATCTCCTCCTCTCTGCCCTTGGTGCCCAGCACTAAAGTCGTTATCCCTGGGTGTTACACGCCCCCCTTCTGGATCCAGGCTTAGCTGTATCTCATATGCACTTGGCTTCCATCCAAGGCCCGTGCACCCTCCCACTTTTCTTTTCTCTCCCTACAGTGTTTATCTGCAGCTTCATGGTGGCTGCCCCCATCTTTGGCTACCTGGGAGACCGCTTCAACAGGAAGGTGATCCTCAGTTGCGGCATCTTCTTCTGGTCGGCTGTCACCTTCTCCAGCTCCTTCATCCCGCAGCAGGTGAGGGTCCCTCACTGGCACCCCTGCTCAGCCCCTCCCAGTGTTTAGGTCCCTCCCAGAGTGCTAGTCTGTGCTAGACTAGACTGGAGCTTCTGCTCCTGAGCTTCGACTCTAAGGCAGAGCTATGACAAGTATCTTTGGGTTCACTGCTAAAGCATCCCTGCAGACAGGGCCTTTTCTGTGCTGGCCTGAACCAAGGGGCTTGCAGCCCTGCATGGCATTGAACTCTCTGAGCTGCCTCTGGCTTGGGCAGGATGCCAGGAACAGGGGGAACAAGTCTGGCTTAGGAGTGAGGGCCTTGGCTTCAGTCCTAGCCCTTCAGTTCTCTTGTTGTGTGAACTTAGGCGAGTCCCTGTCCCTTTCTGGTTCTGGCTCAGTTTGCTTTTTGTTTGATGACCTGCCAACTCTTTGTATCCAAGTCCCAGGAAGGCAAGTGTCAATTCAACATAAAGGTGCTATGGGAAACACACTTGGCTTTGTCCAGCTCTGTTGTCCCCTCAACTTCGTGATCTGGAGAAATGTATTTTATCTCTCTTGGCCTCAGTTTCCTCTCTGTTAAGATGGGAATAATCCTACTTAGCCTGGTTCACTGTGAGAAGCAACCAAGTTCATGTGTGTATAGCTATGGGAGCATAGTAGCATCCAGCAAATCCTTGTTTTTGCTCTTTCTGTTTAAGAGAACATGTGTTGTCTTATGAGTGTAGTAAGCTATGGCTAGGAATATTCAGTCACATTACAGCTTCTGTGGATGGTGATAGCAGAGGGAGAAGAACCAGCATCTGTCCTCAAGAGCTTTCAGTCTTTCCCTGTCCTTAGAAGCCCAGGGTAGGAAGCTTCTAGCTCATAGCCTTCAGGAAGCACCAAGTGCCTAGCACTGAAGAGGGACTGGCTTCTTGCAGTCCATGGGTACCAGGAAGGCTTCCTGGAGAAGGTAGCACATGAGCCTAGCAGGGAGGACTGGGAGGCCAGGCCCTGTGGTGAAGACAGAGGCAGAGGGCCATATCCACAGATGTGTGGAAGGTAGATCATGTTGAGAGAAGAAGGGTGTTGTAGCTTGATACGAAGGTAGAGAACTAGTCAGGGAGGGTCTTCAGTGCCAGGTCTGGGGCCCAGGCTTTCCTCTTGGGTCAGTGCCGAGCCTTGGAATAGTCCCAAGACAATGAAGAGCTCGATGCTTGCTCTAGGAGGGAACAGGCAGGTTTACAGGGACAACTTTGCTTCATGGGTATGGGTCAGGCCCAGGGCAGCTCCAGGCCCAGTGCTTGGTGGAACCTGGTGGCCACCATAGAAACAGACTAATCCAAGAGCCTCTAGAGCCCCAGAGCCTCATCCTGCCCCTGGCTAGGCCCCTGGGGCTGCTTCTGGGACTAATCAATGAGTTCAGGCCTTGATCCCCTCTGGATTGGGGAGAGGACATGAGAGGAGACAGAGAGAAACAGACAGATTACTTCCAATTACTCTGTAAATTCATTGTGATCACCATTTGGGCCCCATGGGGGCTTTTGGTGGACATTGGCAATGTGATTCTGAAGTTAATTTGGCAGAGAAAATGCTTAGGAACAGCCAAAAACAATGTAAAAAATAACAGTGAATGGGGTTTACCTTATCAGTTGTCAAAACAACAGCCATTCTGGACTAAAGTAGATGAGGGACCTAACAAGCAGTGAGGGACAGACCAAGTGATCGATGCAGAGAGGCCTGGGGCATGGGGAGCTAGTGCAGGGTGAGAGTGCATCCTAAGCCAGTGGCTCAGGGAAATGGAATGATCTGCCAAGACTGTAAATCAAGTTCAGTCTGTATGTTAAACCATGTTGCAGAATAAACTCCAAGCAGGAAACAAGAACCAAAGGAAGATGGAGAAATCCAGAGCTATAAACCAACAAGAAAAAGACAACTGTTCCAAAAACAAGCAAAGAATAGCCACAGGCCATTCCAGAAGATACCCAAAGGGCCAATGAATATAGAAGAGATGCCTTAGCCTCTCGAGGAATCAGGGAAATGCACATGAAAACAACAATGAGATACCATTTCACACCCATCAGATTGGCAACAATTAAAAAGGCTGACAATACGGAGTGTTAGTACAGCTGTAGGAAATCTCAGGCTGTCTCTGTTGGCCAGAGTGTAAATTGGTAGAGCCTCTTTGGAGATCAGAATGGGAAGTTACTGTAAAATTCTCGCTGTGTGCCTGAACTGCCCAGCTTCTGCTTGGAGGGACACAGCCAAGAAACTCTTGTGGACATGCACATGGGAAGATGCTTCTTGCAGTACTGTCCTAAAGAGAAAAAAAGAGGGGCTGGAGAGATAGCTCAGCCAATAAGTGCACTTACTCCTCTTCTAGAGGACCAAAGTTCAGTTCCCAGCATCCATGCCCGGCGACTCACAACTGCCTGAAACTCCAGCTCCTGGGGATCTGACTTCCTTTCTGACCTTGGGTACCTGCATTCAAATGCACATATCTGCCCCCCCACTCACATACACACAATTAAAAACAAAATAAATCTGAGAGAGAGGGGGGGGGAAGGAGAAGGAGAAAGAGAGAGAAAGCTGGAGAAATGGCTCAGTGGATGAATGCTTGCTGTGCAAGCATGAAGACCTGAGTTCAGATCCCCAGCATCTATAGAAAAGCAAGGTGTGGTGGTGTGCATCCATAGCCTCAGTGCTGAGGGAGTGGAGACAGGTGGATCCCAATTCTAGCTGGATCAGTGGGCTCAAGGTTCAGTGAGAGACTCTGTTTCAAAAAAAAGGTGGAGAGGCTGGAGAGATGGCTCAGCAGTTAACAGTACTTGCTTCTCTTGCAGAGAACCCAAGTTTGGTGCCCAATATCCATATAAGGTGGCTTATAACCACCTGTAACTCCAGCTCCCTGGAATTCAATGTCCTCTTCTAGACTCTTCTGGCACCTTCATATATGTGGCATATACTCACACACACATTCATATGACTAAAAAAAAAAAAAAAAAAAAAAAAAAGATAGAGAGCAATAAAAAACACCTGACATCAAACTCTGGCCTCTACATGTGCACCCCCCCCACATACACACAGAAAGAATGAGAGAGAAGAAGGAAAGAAGGATGGAAGGGGACTGGAGACATGGCTCAGGGGTTAAGAGCACTAGGTTGTAGAAGACCTGGGTTTGTGTCCCAGCACCCACATGGCAGCTAATAACGGTCTGTAACTCCAGTTCCAGGGGAATCCGACACCCTCTTCTGACCTCAGCAAGCATTGCATGACACGGATATACTTACATACATGCAGGTAATACACTCATACACATAAAATAATAAATAAAAATATTAAAAGGATGGAAAGAAAGAAGGAAGGAAGGAAAAAGGAAATGACTTAAATGACCACTACCACAGTTACACAGCGTGTATTCATAATGAGTCTGGCCAGTGGAAGAATAAATTTGGTCTATGCCAACCAGCTTGAACAGGTCTCAAAAAAGATAATGAAGGGAAAAGCATAAGGGAATGAACATGGAGCAGCCCCTTTTCCTGTTCATCTGTTGTAAGCACACAGAGGATACTAAGTGCTGTTCATTGGTACCTACGTGTGTAGCACAGGCAGAGGGCAGAGACACCATCAACCTGGTAAGCCCCTTTGTGGAGTGGGGACACATAGGGTCCCCTCAGCATGCTAGCATACTGACAAGGGTTGATGTCTCTTTCTCATTCTCTCACCAAATTGTTACCAACATGAGATAGAAGAGGATGTTTTTATACTTCAGGGAAGGGAATAGTTTTTCCTGACAAGGCATGAAGGAAAAAATCAAGATTTGACAGCATCAAATTAGACACCAGGAAGCCTGTGAAACTGAATAAGTAAAGAGGAAAGAAAGAAGGCTGAGAACACTGGTGACACAGATGACAAAGGATCTAGTCCCATGATGCACAAAAAGCTAATCTAAATCAATACAAAAATGACAGACAACCTAACAGAAAAACAGGCAAAGGCTGTGGGCAGACAATCTGCAGGAAAAGAAATGCCAGGAATCAGGGAGAGCAAGAGAGGGGTCAAGGTAGAGGGTCAACACCTCCCAGCAGAGACATCAGGGGCTAGATGGGCAGCCAGAAGAGAGGGAACAAGGAAAAGAGGGGAGGGCTAGATGTGGGTGATGCTGGCCGGATGGGTGGTCAGGGTGGAGCTGGGGAATGATGGCCAGGCTGGGTTCTCAGGCCCTGGGCAGCTGAGGGCCAGGGGAAGGCAGGTTCACATCAAAGGGGTGGGACCACTGGCAGCTAGCATAGCCCCACCCTTAACCCTATCACTGCCCTTTGATGTGTGCATGGGGGAGGGGCTGCTGTGCCTACTCCCTATGCCATTGAATCCTCAGTACTGCCAGGCTTGGCCCAACCACTCTGCTTCGGGGAGGGACATGGAGCAAGGGTGACTTGTGGATCCTGAAGTGGGATCAAAGCCAGGTGGGAGATGCCCAAGGTAGACACATTGTTCTATAGAGGCCTGTCTACTCCCAACCTGGGAATGTCTAGTTTTAGTCAAATTCATCATTTAGAGGAACACCCCAGGGCCCAGAGTGGCTGTGGCCGTTGTTGAGGCTCCATCCTCTCTCTTGCCAGGGTTGGGGTACAGCTGGGCAGGGATGAATAGGCCTAGGAATGGCTGGTCCCTCAGCATTCTCCACCCTCCTCCACAGTACTTCTGGCTGTTGGTCCTGTCCCGAGGGCTGGTGGGTATCGGTGAGGCCAGCTACTCCACCATTGCGCCTACCATCATCGGTGACCTGTTCACCAAGAATACACGTACACTCATGCTGTCAGTCTTCTACTTTGCCATCCCACTGGGCAGGTAAGCATGGAACTCCAGGGCTTGAGGGAGGAGCTCCAATGTCCCCTTGGACATGCCAACCCTCCATGTGTTAAACAGACTTGCAGACAGTCAGCCTTGGAGAACCCCTGGCCCACTCTTATATGGCCTAGCTGGGCAGCAGGGCAAGTGAACATTTCCCACTTAGCCCGTCTGCTCAGCCTGTTGTATTTCTGTCTTCTCTGCAGTGGCCTAGGCTACATCACAGGCTCCAGTGTGAAGCAGGCAGCTGGAGACTGGCACTGGGCCCTGCGGGTAAGGCCTAGGCCCCCTCCCACTCTCCATTCCTGCCTTTGTCCCCAGAGAGTTGCCCAGCCTAGACCTCCAGGCTTCCTCCCTCACCAGCCTGGCTTCTGAGGTCTTGTCCTTCTAGATTGGTGCAGCCTGAGGTATCAGGAGAGTTAGACAGTCCTGTCACCCACAGGGCCTCAGTCTAGGGTTGGAACCCCACCCCCACCCTAGGGAATCCCACATCGAAAGGACAAGGATTCTCTCACTGTGTCAGGAAATTCCAGGTTCACAGCGTAGCTTCCTGCTTCCAGCCCTGGCTCTGTTGTAGTGCAAGGCTGGGACAAGACCTCTGTGTGGGGGCCCTTAGGGTCTGGAGCCACTTCCTGTCCTGTTGGAAGGTTGGGGCAAGTCACCAAGGCCTCAGGATGGTGCAATCGGAGGAAACAGAGATCCCCCATCTCTCAGAGGAGCGGAAGCTCAAGACAAAGTGTTTTTTCCTCAAAAGCAGGAAGGAAGCAGCCGTGGAATTTCTTGATAGGGGGTGAGAGGGGGTTGCATGCTGAAGATCTCTGCAACCCACAACTCCCAGGCCTGGGGGGAGGCAGGCTTCTCTTTTCTCCTGGGCTGGTATTTAGAATCCAGGCTGTCAAGATGTCCCTTCCCATGTGGAGAGAGGCCTGGGGCCTTGGCTATTCTGTTCTTAATGAGGCTGGACACAGGGAAGATCCAAAGCCCATGTAGAGCCCTCTAAAGGATAGCCCATCTGCCTGGCCAATGCCTCCCTAATGCCCACATTTGAAGGACCTGTCTGGGAACATTCCCAGCCCTGGAGGTTGGGCAAGGGTTGGCATTTGGCTCCCCACCCCCAGGAATGAACTCTTTCCACTCCAAGTCATCATTCCCTTTGTTTTTATCTGTTCTTCCTTTTCCTGTTATCCATCCACTCATTCACCTACCTTTCTATCCATCCATGCACGAACGCATCTGTCTGTTCTATCTACCTGGTCTATCTGTTCTCCATCCATGTAGCCTTCTTCTCTTCCTCTTTTCCTCCCTCTCTCCCTTCCTTTTTACCTCTCTTCCTCTCTCCCTCCCTGCAGTCTGTCAGTCTTCCTTGAACCCACTCTCCTGCCCTGCCTTGTTCACTTTGAGCTCCCGATCTCTTCTTAGGCCTCATTCTCAGTGGTTTTGCTCAGCCTTTCTGTCAGCAAGAAGGACAAATATTAGCCCAGAGAAAGGACTTGGAGCCCAGACAAGGCCCAGATGCCTTAGCTTTCCTGTGCCACACAGTCAACTGGGCCTGGGGTTCAAACCATGTTTCCTACCCTGCCAGGTGTCCCCTGTCTTGGGCATGATCACAGGAACACTCATCCTAGTCCTAGTTCCAGCCACTAAGAGAGGCCATGCTGATCAGCTTGCGGGGCAGCTCAAGGCACGGACCTCATGGCTCCGAGATATGAAGGCCCTGATCCGAAAGTGAGTGTTACTGGGCAGGGCTTGATGGGAGGAGGGAGGAGGACTTGGCTGGAGGACCTTTGAGGCTCACCTGAACCCTCCTGCCATTTCCACTGCCTGTAGTGTGGAATGACACTTTGGCCATTGAGTTTATGTTCCTTCATCCCAAACCCTCACCTGAGCCTGGGAAAGAGCATTTCTCTCTGCTGGAGGCCAGAGGTGGGAAGCAGCTGATCCTGATGTAGGGGGCTCCCTTGTTTCTCCCCAGCCGCAGCTATGTCTTCTCCTCCCTGGCAACGTCTGCAGTATCCTTTGCCACAGGGGCCTTGGGCATGTGGATCCCCCTCTATCTGCATCGAGCCCAAGTTGTGCAGAAGACAGCAGAGACGTGCAATAGCCCGCCCTGCGGGGCCAAAGACAGGTGAGGCCTTGACTTGAGGGATGCTGGACAGGAGTGCCTCTGCCCTAACTCTGACCCTGCTCAACCCACACCCTACTGTCCTCTGTCCCCACAGCCTCATCTTTGGGGCCATCACCTGCTTCACGGGCTTTCTGGGTGTGGTCACAGGCGCTGGAGCTACTCGCTGGTGCCGCCTGAGGACCCAGCGGGCTGACCCACTGGTGTGTGCTGTGGGCATGCTGGGCTCTGCTATCTTCATCTGCCTCATCTTTGTGGCCGCCAAGAGCAGCATCATGGGCGCCTATGTGAGTGTAGTGGAGGCAGGAGGTTTGGGGAGCTGGGTTGGAGATGCAGTCTTACTTGCTGGACCCTCCATCCTTGCGGGGAGAATGGTGTGTCCCTGATCTGTGTGTAGCCTGTCTAGGAGTCCTGAGTGTCCCTGGGAGCTGTGAGCATGACTTGAAGTCTGTGGATAGTCCCTTAAATAATTCCTCATCAGCCTGTGAGGAGGTGGGGGCCTTCCAGAAGGGAAGGCTTTGGGGGTCCCCTGAATGCCAGTGTGGCCCCCACAGTGTGGTAGCTGATGATGTGAGGAGACCCTCACGGCTGTTCTCTTCTCTCTGGGCAGATCTGCATCTTTGTTGGGGAGACACTGCTGTTTTCTAACTGGGCCATCACTGCAGACATCCTCATGGTAAGCCAGGCAGGCTGCGGTCACCTCGTGTTGAACAAGGCTTCTGGACTTCAATGGGGCAGCTGGGGAGGGTGGGTGAAGAGTAGGCAGGGTTTGTTTGGTGGGGGAGGTGAACCCTGAGGCAGGGAAGGAATATGGAGAAATATGAGATATGGGGAGGTGGGGGTCTGTATCTGGGCATGGCCTGAAAACAGGGGTGAGCAGACAGACGTTGGGATGTGGGGGCGGGGTTTTCTTGGGGCTCAGGTTTATGGCTAGGAGGCTGGCAGTGCCAGGCTGGCACTGAGGTGGCGCTGCCTGCCAGCACTCCTCCCCCGGGAGCTGAGCGTCCCTGTACTCTGGTCTCCAGGCTCAGGCTGGGTCCCAGGCACGCCTATGGAGTGCTTGTGGATGGCTGGCCAGACAGAGGCTGTCTTCACAGAGCCAACAATGGCCTCTAGACCAGGCCGCCAGGGACAAAGGGCTATCTGAGCTGCCGGCTGAGTCTTGTGTCCCTGGGTGGGGATGGGAGAAATAGGCAGGGCTGTGGGCTCTAGTGACTTGTATGTCTAAGCAAGGCAGGGGAGTGTGTGACAGGAATAGGTATATGACTCTTGTTCCTGCCCTTGGTCCTTGGGCACCTGCCGGGGACTGGAGGCAGAATGGCAGGAGGTGTGGGACAGGGGGAGTAAACATCCCCAGGGAAGTCAGAGTCTGGGGATCTCTGGGCCCTTTGCAGTCCCTCTACTTCAGGAAGCTTACCTTGTCCTACCCCACATTCCCCTGCCTACCTGTTTTCCTCACCAGTCTCAGTGTTCCTCAGTAGTCCATGGGCTATGTAGAGGTAGTGGTGAGGACTGACTCAACTCTGTGCCTCAGTAGGGGGCTGGGCAGGGCAGGGGTGTGTCAGGATGTTGCACAGGCCTGACTGAAGAGGGAAGGGGGATCTGTCTGAATCAAGTGTCTTTGGTACTGGACAGCATGCCCTTCCCTTCCTACCTCCCCAGGGCAGCCCCTGAGACCTGCTGGTCCCAGGGAATCATGTCTCAGTTTATCAAGTGTCCAAGCTAAGTGACTAATTAGTGTTGGAAATGGGGCCATGCAAGCTCCTTGGATCTAGGTCTCTCCCTGTCTCCTTACAACCAACAGGCCACCTTGTAGGTGCTGGCTGCTCTCACTATCCACAACAGCTAGTGCCATGAACAGGGCAGGCAGTTGAGCTTAGGGCAGGGGGCACCCAGTGCTGCCTGTTCCAGCCTTTGTCATTTATCTCATAATGGGGTGTGGGCCTCTTTTATCTGATGTGTGACCTGGGGCCCAGTGACTCTTAGCATCTGGTGCTGGGGTACCCATGAGTTCAAGTGGATGCTCTTTGGGGTAGAGGTCTGCTTCACGTCCCCTCCACCTCCACCAGTCTCAGCCTTGTTTGAACCTCACAGAGGGAAACCAGGACAGGCATTTAGCTTATGGAAGGGATTCTCTCCAAGAGGATCATGAGGCCAGCCTGGGTTAGGCAGCAAGTACATTAAAAAAAAAAAAAAAATGGTGTCTCTGGGCTCTGACTCAGTTCCTGAGGCTCTAAGAGCTCTGACCTAAAGACCTGTGCACAATCTGCAAATGGTACACAAATTGTGCTCCCCTTCGCTGGATGTGGTGGAGAAGTAGAGATACCTGTCTCTGAGGTTAAGGTCTGGGGCCAGTCAGAACAGCCTCTATGGTGGGGACTGAAGCTGTGTGTAGGTGCTGCTCTAGGTAGGAGGGGGCAGATGGAGAAGAGCAGAGATCCTGTAGAAATGACAAGAACAGCCATGTCTACAGATGGGCAGGGAAGGGCAGGGCTGGGTAGTGGGGAGTAAAGATACCAGGGTAGGAGAGAGGCTATGGGTGCTCCAGAAGTATAGCCAAAGGGATGAGTCCAGTGGGTGGCTCTGGCCTTGGCCTCTCTGGCACTGACCTGCCCCTCTCTCTTGTAGTATGTGGTCATCCCTACTCGACGGGCCACTGCTGTGGCCTTGCAGAGCTTCACCTCCCACCTGCTGGGGGATGCTGGAAGCCCCTACCTCATTGGCTTTGTGAGTAACTGGCCTGGGGAGGTTGGTGGGGGGCTGCAGGAGATAGCCCTGTTCTGACACCTATATGCCAATTCCCACAGATCTCGGATTTGATCCGTCAGAGCACCAAGGACTCCCCGCTCTGGGAGTTCCTGAGCCTGGGCTATGCCCTCATGCTGTGTCCCTTTGTCGTGGTCCTGGGTGGCATGTTCTTCCTTGCTACTGCTCTCTTCTTCCTCAGTGACCGTGCCAAGGCTGAGCAGCAGTGAGTAGGGTGGGGTTGGTGTGGTAGCTCTGTTCTACCCTGGGGTGAAGGGGACAGTGGGTAACTTTATACCTCTGAAAGTAGGTAACTTGCTACTGGGGTCTAGGGCCAGCTCCCCCATACCTGGGTCCAGGCCTTCCCAAGCCCCAGCCCACGTTATGGGTCTAGCTCATGGTGGCCCAAAGCTGGCAGATGTCAGGCCCCTTTGTGGTAGCTCCAGACACAGGTTTTTCCCTGGAGTTGCAGGGTTTTAGAACTGGGAACCCCATCTCTTCCTTTTCTTCTCATTTTCTGACTTCTTTCTCCTCTTTTCTCCTCTTTCTTTCCTCTCCCCACCTCTGGGCTATCCTACCTCCCCCTGGGGCTGACGAGGTCCCTGCCCAGTGCCTCCGGTCAGCCGGCCCCCGAGATGCGATGTGCCAGAGCCGTGCCTGGGCCCGGTCCCTGCTGATGTGCCACCCTGACCCCCGCCCGTCTCTCCCCCAGGGTGAACCAGCTGGTGATGCCGCCCACATCCATGAAAGTCTGAGGTGGTAAGTAGGGAGGCCCCATGGGAAGGTGGCCACAAGGGAACAGGGGACACCCCACCTTCCAAGCCATCTGCTTAAGCACATTGCACCTGCCCTCTTCCTCCTGAAATGTTGACATGGAATCTTCAGAGCTGAGAGCAGGATCTGTGGGAGCTGGTTTCTTCCAGTAAATCAGCTCCCTCCCTTCCTTAGAAGGCTGGGGGCATAGGTCAGCACTGGAACTTGCCAGGAACTCCTGCTGTCCTCCCAAATCCTCCTAGATGTGCCAGGGTGCAACTCCCACCCTGACCTTCCCCCCTCAGCTTGGCCCCTGGAGGCTGCAGCTTCCCAGCAATGCAAAACCAGGGTCATAGCCCCTCCAAGTCCAGGGCAGCAGGGAAAGCAAAAGAAGCAAACTTCGGAAAGGCTCCGCACACCCATTTCTGACCGGACACCTCTCCCCACAGGTGCCGCTGGGACAGTGATGAACTCCAGTTTAGACTGAGAGATATCCACTGGCACTCTGGACCTGCAGGATTGTCCCAGAGCATCCTGTGTGACCCACAGCTGGGTACTCACCCTCTCTGGCCCAGGATCGAGTGGCCATGGCTTCAAGGAGAAGCAGAGTCCCCAGTTAACCTGGAGGGCTGTGTGTGTTGGAACCACTCAGTTGGACTAATTTCCAGCTCTGAGTGGGGGCTGCAGGGCCCGTGTGGCCAAGCGAGAAGCCAGCCAGCAGTGGGTGCTTGGGGAGAAACTGGCTCGCCCCTAGCTCATGTGATCTTAGGGGAGTCCCTGCCTGTCCTAGACCATGGGTCCAGGGAACTGGAGATTCCCCCATTGTGTGCCAAGCAAGGCATTCTTCACAGCTTTGAAGAAACAGCAGGTCCCAGGCTGTACACAGATGACATAGGCCAGCTCTCAGGGCCCCAGTTTCGATTCTGAGGTCCCCCCAAAGGATCTGGTGTTGTAGGGACCACCTTCCTTCTGTGGGACTCTGACCTCGGTGACATCAAACTCAACCTGGCACATGGAGGACACCCATTGCTGGGTGCTTGCTGGCTGGGACGGTCACTCTGGAGGACGCTTGTCTGCAGTCTTCAGCTGGTTCTTACTTGGAGGTTTCCCAGGTGGGACTACTTCCTTTGTGGAAGCTGTATCACCAGGGGTGAAGGCCCTGGTGGCAGTATACACCACTGGCACCTGGGCTTGAGACTTTTGGAAATAATCCAATTCATCTCTCAGAAAGCCAGAACCATCCCTCCCCTCCTACAGGCCGATGTGAGCCCTTTCCAAGGGGTGGGCTCAGGGAACCGCTCCCCAGAGCCCATGGGGCAGACGACTAGGGATCTGGCTGCTGAAGGCTACATCTAGCAGCCATCACGAAGCTTCTTGAGCTAAAGGATGAGCCTGATGGAAGCTACCCACCAGTGGCTGTAGGTATCACATGCACACAGCTCCAACTGACTTGGGAGCGAGGTCTTCACTCCAGCCTTTGATCACCCCACTCCCACCTGCACACAAGCACCCTGTTCTTGCAGCCACATCAACGCCTTCATCCCCTCTGGGCATTCTTATCCCTGGCTCCATACTCCCTGCATATCTGCTGTGACCAAGGTGGCTCTGGTCCCAGGTAGTTGGAACCCACAGGAGACTCCCAGAACCAGTTTGGATGCTTCCTGTGGCTGTCCCCTAGTTACTGGCTGGCTGTGGCTTCAGTGGTGTTAGCTAGTGGAATACCCACCCCATCAAGCTCTGGGGCACCCTGGGAGTCAGACATGGGTGAAGAGAGGGTGCTATTCCTAAAAACCAGCCTAGCCCCCACCAAAGCCTCAGGAGGGGCCCCAGCAATGTTTTCTTGTTGTACAAGAACCAGGTCCCAGTGTTGCCTCCTCTTCCTTCCGGAAGCTAACTGCTCCTTTATTTTTTAGAGCTGCTCATTGTGAATCTCAGAGTCTTAAGAGAAACCAAATATATATTCGTCTTGTAAATGAAGAAATAAACCTATTTAAATGATGTTCTGGTGGCTCTAGCAGAACAGCCCAGGGTAGGGCATGACACCCATACGTGACTAACATCAACCTAGCTGGAACCCCCCCTAAAAACATTGCATCAGAACCACTCCCCAAAACTAGAGACCAGTGCCATACATATGCTGCAGCTTGTTTATTAAAATCTCAGTGAAAAAAATAGGAGTCTCTAGGGCTAGTGGAGGTGGGGGAGGGCAGGACATGCTTAGGGAGTCTGTTCCTTCTTCCTGACCACTTTCCTTTTCCTGGCCCCACTCTGTAACAGGCTGGGGCTCCTGCTGACCAGAGACAGCCTTGCCTTTTTCCGAGGCAGGGCAGACTTGGGGGACTTGTTTAAGACCTCCTTTATGGGAAGAGCCTTCTGATGCTGTTTTTTGCCTTCAGGCTCTATAGGGGACACAGGAGTGGTTCCATTCACCTGTGACAACTTCTCTTTTTTCTTCTGCAGTTTTGGGGTCTCGGCAGGGGTAGTGGGGCTTAGGGTGAGATTGTTTGAGGCTAGACTCTTGGTGGCAGGTGTCCCATTCACCTGGGCCTGAGCCTGGGCCTTCATCTTCCTCCTCCTCTTCTTGCCTGTGCTGGGAGGTTGGTCTCCACCTGTGACAGCAAGCGTGGCATTCTCCGGCATAACATCCTGCTCTGGTGTGACATCCTTGGATTTGCGCTTTCGCTTCTTGGTCTCTGGCAAGAATCCTTTTTTTTTCTGCTTCGTGCTAATGGGGCTCTGGGTAACATTAGGGGCATCCTTGGCATCCTTCTTCTCTGACCTGGGGCGCCTGAGGGGAAGCAAGTAACATAAGAAGGGTGCAGTATCGGCAGGAGGGTCTTTCCAGCCCCACTCCCATGTAGGGCCTGCTTCTAGAACTTACTGGACTCCTAGCATCTTCATGGCCTGCCAATAGAGGTCGTGGAGGCGGCTGGAGCCAGATGAATGATTCCCCTGCTGCAGGTTTTGCTGCAGCTTCTGCTGCTGGCCCTGCAGCACGCCCAAGAGAGCAGTAAGGTCCACAGTCAGCTTCTGTAGAGGAAAGACAGGCTGGAGCTGCAGTGCTGATGGCACAGCCTCTGGCCAGCTCTTAGGCCCCAGTCTTCCCACCCTTGTCCAGTTGCTGCCTTTCCAGTGGTTCCCACCTGCTTCTCTTAGCTACTCCTGCCTCTAAATCACTAGTTCCTCTGTTGGGAAAGAAAAAAGAGCCCCTGATGCTTCCTTTCCCTGGTGTTTTGTCTGCATCAGCTCCCCACAACCCTCTCTGGGGATGGTTCTAGCCACTGACCAAGGGTCCCCCCCTTAGGGTTACCAAAGTCTTCACCAAATATACACCAGCTTCTAGGGTGCCTACTTCTCAGCTCTGTTGCCTGTCTAAGCCCTGCCTTTTCCTTTCTGCACTGGCTAAAGTCCAAGCTCACCCTTCATCTGTGCTGACTAGTTTCTGTCTACGATGAAGACTCCCAAATTATTCCTTCTTACCAGATTGGGGAACCCAGATGCCCATATCCAGCAGCCTCCTAGCCTTCCATCTTGATGGCCCATGAGCATCTCACGACCCAATGGCCCTGACTTACCACCCAGTGGCCCTGACTTACCACCCCTCCCTGCCCACTTACTCCTGGCCTCCTTCCAAACTGCTGCCTACCTGGACTCTTCTCCAGTTCTCCCTACCTCCAGCCTAAGCTCCTTCCCAGCTTTCTTTTTAGTCAGCCATCACCCCATCTGCAGGTGTAGATGTGGCTCTTTACCTTCCAAAAAGCCAAGAACTTCTACCAACACAGTAGCGCTGTAATCATTTAAAAGGCCAGATTCTTCCCCTTGGTATCTCACAGTCCTGCCTGGGGAGGACTACTGCTAGATCCCTGACGTGAGGTCCTTTCCAGCCAGGGGGCTGGCTCTGTGGGCAACTGCTGCCTTACCTCATGATTGACGGTCTTGAAGAGAGTGTTGAGCAGCTCCAAGGAGGAGAGCTCTTTCTGGTGCTCTGCCTTGCTTTGTGCCTCCCCGAGGTTGTGCAGGATCTAGGAAGGAAGGTCAAGGCTGAGGTACTCCTAGAGCTGCCTAAGGCCTTTCTGCCTCCCCCATAAAAAGGTGGTCCAGAGGACTGGGTGTGGTGGCATAAGCCTTTAATCCCAGCATTTGGGAGGCAGGTGGATCTCTGTGAAATCAAGAGATTGAGGTCAGCCTGTTCTACATAACGAGTTCCAGGCCAGCTGGGGCTACAGGGAGACCCTGTCTCAAACAAAAACAAAACAAAACAACACGGTCCAGCGAGGAACTGTTTCTGGGGACTAGCAGAGAATCTGGCTTTTGGTTCCCAGTACACTGGGGATGGGTTCATGGCAGGGGTTTATGAGCTGACCTGGGTGACCTTATCGAGGACCTGGCCAATCAGCTGCTCCCACTCAGGGTCCTCAAAACATACTCTCAGCTCCTTTGCAGATAAGGTCTTCTGGAGCAGCAGGCATGCCTGGGCCTGCAGTGAGAAGAATGTAGTCAGTGGGAGCCCAGCATGTGGGGGTCAAGGCTCAGGAAGCTGCCTGTTCTGGGTTCCATAATCATTTACTACTTTCTTCGTATATGGGGAAGAGGTGCTGAGGCTGGAGAGAGGCAGAGATTCCAAGTGGATAGGAACAGGACTTTGGGTTGGGAAAGTTCCTAGCCTTCAGTGGCTTAATGTCATCTCCCTCTAGCCTGCTGGACAGCCCTGGCACCCGAGTAGACACTGCAGGGTGTTCTCTTGTACAAGCCAGAGGATGAACTCTCAGCAGAGCTGGAGGGCTTGAGCCAGATGGCAAGGCTGGCCCTGTTTTCCCCCAGCACCTCTACTTACAACAGGGGAAGAGTCAGAGTATGGCCATCTCACCCACTGGAGCATAAGCAGACCAGCTCTTACCTGATGGCGGGGCCGAGATGGACTAGCCACATAAGGGACCAAGACAGGGAGCAGGCTCTTACAGATCATCTAGGAGGGGAGGACAGAGACCATTAGGTAGGGACTGGATTGGGTAGAGTTCCTAAGGGGAGGGCTGGCTCCAGCACTTACCGGATATCGGGAGAAGAGGCCGAGGAACATGGGGATAGTGAGGGGACTGTTACGCTTGGTTAGAAAAGACTCCAGTGCTGCCGAGTACACCCGGGTCACAAAGTTCAAGTCCAAGCAGTTGGCAGCCTGGGCCTGGTGAGAGAGCTGGGGGTGAGGCAAGGGTTGGCCTCAAGTCCTCACTGGAAGTTATTTAGGCTGGTCCCTAGCTTTCTGGGCTAGGCCTGGGGCTCACCTCTGAGTCCACCGGTTCAGGCTTGGTGCCAGCTCCCTGTGGCTTCTGGCTGTCTTGGTACTTCTTGCTGGTGTTCCCCTTGAGGACCCGCAGCAGGTACAGAGAAGCGTTGAAATAGTAGAGGGCGACAGAGGCATTGGCTTGGGTGCCAGCCTGCTGTACCAGCCTCTCCACCTGGGTATGCAGAGCATCTGTGCAGGGCTCCACCTTGTGGCAGTAGTGCCGGGCACGACATAAGTGCTGCCTGTAGATGGGTGGGGCGGGCAGTCAGAAGGATCACTTCACCCTATTGCTTGGTGTCAGGGGTAGGCAGGCAGGGAGAACTGACCCTACTTAGAGATAGCAGAATTATCTGAGCAGGTGTGATCTGGGATAGCATGGGCCATGTTGCATATGTCCTTGCTCTCTGTCAGACTTCCCAACAACTGTGACACCAAGGGCAGGGATGGGACCAGAGCCTCAGGACCCCAGCTCAAGGACACAGTGGACATGAAGCATCAGGAAAATGGGAAGATGAATTAAAAACTATTGAGTTACTGAGTGGCATGTGCCCCGGGGAGCAGAGTATTGAGCCCAGATCACTGGGCCTGGGTCTGAATCCTGAATGCGCCTCTTTCTATCTGGAACACCAAAACTCTGCCTTTCCAAGTCCTGGCCCTGCTGATGCCCTGCCCAGCAAGCACACTCACATGAAGATGCGGGCTGTCTTATGTAGCAGGTCCTGCTCCTGCTTGGTAGAGCTGCTGCTACGCATGCTGCGCTGAATGATGCTCAGCAATGGCTCGAGCAGCTCCAGGACCAGAGGGTTCTCGGGCTGCTTAGTCACCAGTACCTCAATCAGGTCTAGCACCTGTGGCCAAAAGGTTGGCATGTCCACTCATGCAGGAGTATGCAGAGACAAAGGGGAGGTACAGGTGCCTATCACCCACATGCTCACCCGTATCTGGAAGTCCCGCCGGAGCGTCTTCTCCTTCCGCAGCTTGTTTTTCTCTTCTCGCTGGGCCTGGATACGCAGCTTTTGCTCAGCAAATAGGCTGGCGAGGTTCTCGTCCAGGGCCATCATGGCTTCATCTCCAAGTTCCTCCTCATCTTCACTGTCCTCTCCACCCTGAGGACAGAGGCCCAGCCATCAGCCTGGCCTCAGGCAGGGACATATCCAACCCCTTCTCTCCTGGCTCCTGCTTACCAGTGCCTTCCCAGACTGCAGTACGGCCATCAGCTGCTGGCGGAAGCCCGGGTCTACATCCTCATCACGGTCCTCTTCCTCACTTTCTTCCTCATCCTCACTATCCATGTCACTCACTGAGTTTTTACTGTCCTCACTATCTGAGCCCTCGTCCTGTGGATAGGAGACAGGTAGCTCATACCTTCCCACTGCCACCATGTCCTGTTACCCCACCTGTCCTACCCATCATTGGCAAGTACCTTCTCTGCATGCTTCAGCTGCTTCTCACTGGAATCATCAGTGACCACCACATTTTCATCCTCATCATTTGTCTCAGGGTTGAGCACCTGGAGAGGAATCACAGGCCACAGCTCTACCTGCTACCCCAGCCCCAATTCTCCTCAGGTCATTCCTGCTGCGTCTTCTATTTTAACCAAAGGTCCCATCTCTGAGAGGAAGATGAAGGAGTGTCTCCTGGACTGCCCACAGGACACCTTGGGGCAGGGTGGCATGCAATGCTTTGTGGCCCCACCTGTGCTACAGGGATGACAGGATACCCCATTCTTCTACTATATCTTAGGACTCAGTGGCCCCATCCCCATGATCTATTTCCCCCAAAGGCCCCAACTCACAGCCAGGATCAGCTGCAGGGCATGTGGGGTTAGGTGGGAGCAGATGTGGCCAAACACGTTCCGGGCCACCTGGCGTATCAGGTGGCTGGGCTGAGCCAGCAAGGATAGCAGGATCTCCACCATCACTTCCACCCATGGTGGCTCCTGGGAGGCTGCAAGCAGGAACAGGTTGAACTGGGGTAGGATGTGAGTCTGGCTACCCTAGCTGCCCAGCCTGCCTGCTCTGGGTCCCCATGGAGCCAAAAATGCTGTCTTCCAGCCCTGTCCCAGGACAGTGACCCACTGTTGGCCTTGGAGCGGGATCTGCGGGGCTTCTGCTCCATGCTCTTCTTGATACAGGTCTGGATGTCACCTAGGAGGTCACAGCTCTCTGTAGGGGACTGTGGACAGGATGGGACAGAAGTCAGAAACAGGCCTATAGGAAGAACTAACTAGACGTCTTGGGCATATCAGGTACTGGTCTATCTGGGCCAGTACCTTCACTGTCCAGACTGGGGACCCCAGGGCAGTCCAATTTCCCCATCAATACCCAGTCAAGGCCAACAAGGACACTTAGGGCTGCAAGACTATCAAGTGCAACCCTATAATGCACAACTCTAGGTTATCCTTACACTCCTCGTTTTAGATGTAGAATTGAAAACCATTAGCTTTAATTAAATGTGAATGTCTCTTGCTAGGGATGAACCTGGTCATCTAGAATGTAGACTTTCCCCTCATAATGCGACAAGCAGCAACAATGCTGAGGGAGGCAGGAATCCATGCCCTGGCCATCAGTCTCCAGCACTCTGGTCCTAAGAACTGGCAGGTGCCTGTCCTCTGGGCTGTGCCCTTTCCCTAAGGGTTTGATAAACCTGAACTACAGCCTCTTCTGCCAGTCAAGTTTAGAGATCCAGAGGTCTAGGGCCGGTGATATGTATCTGAGAATCACAGGCCCTGTTGTTATCAAGGCCTGGTAGCAAGCACTGGAAGCAAATTCTATAGCCCAGTGGCCAGAAGGGAGCAAACAGAAGACCTATGTACTCAGTCCACTAAGATCTGCAGCAGCCTTGATAAGAGCTTTAGGGGGCTGGAGAGATGGCTCAAAAGGGCAAAGGTGCCACCAAGCCTGATGATTTTAGTTTGATCCCAGGGACCCACAAGGTAGAAAAGCCTCCTGCAAGTTGTCCTCTGACATCCTCCACATGTGTGGTATGGCACACCCCCTCCTACATACATGCACACAAACACACACACATACAAGGTGGGCATGGTAACGCATATTTTTAATCCCAGAACTCAGGAAGCAGAGGCAATTTGAGGCCAGCCTGGTCTATACAGTCAGTTCCAGGCCAGCCAGAGCTAACACAGTGACATCCTGTCTCAAAAAAAAAAATTGAAAGAGCCTTGGGCATTTTGAGGATACCCCTGAAGAAACCAGGACTCAAAGACCAGAAGAAACCACCAGGGTTATGAGTTGTTAGCACTGAGCTTCAAAGACGCTCAAATGGCCAGGTGTGGTAGTGCACACCATACCCTTAATTCCAGCACTGGGGAGGTAGATCACTGTGAGTTTGAGGCCAGCCTGGTCTACACGGCAAGGTCTAGGCTAGCCAGGGCTGCATAGCGAGATGGTGTCTCAGAACAAACAAACAAACAAAGCAGTTCAAAGCTTTTTGCTAGAAAAACAGAAAGGCTCTAGAAGGCCTGTGCCTGGAAGGGACAGGGGTTACAGAATGTGATACAGTGGGAAACAGTGACAGCACAGAGCCTTTGCTGGGGGAAAATGCTAGCCTCACCACAACTCCTGCATCTGAGGGGGCTCAGTCACATGTGAAAAAAAAAGCCTGGGCCTTGGCCAGGTATCCACTAGCACAACTTTAATTCCAGCATTCAGGAGGCAGAGGCAGGTGGATCTTTCTGAGTTTCAGGCCAGCTAGTGCTGCATAGAGAAAGTATCTTAAAAAAAGTGCCTTGGGGGTCAGGTCAGCCTGCCTCCTGCATAGGGTAGCACTCTCTTTCATGTCTATCTCTTCTGGTCAGTAAATCACTTCTAAGAGGGTCAGTGGATTCTGAATCCCAGCCACTGGCTGTATGGCCCAGACAAGTTACTCCAGGGCAAACACAGGCAAGCCCTACAAAGAAAACCTGGGATGCTGGCTGGTGCCTGTATGTGGATGGAGTGATTTTTTTTCCCCCTTGAGCTGTAATTCCATGTGGGACTGGATGGGTTCAGAAAATTCAAGTTAAACCTCCACCCCCCGACACAAAGCCTTCCTTGGCCATCTAAGCAGCACTCAAACGTCTCAGCAGAGGGTCAATGGCACCCCAGAACCCCAGGCCCTAAGCCCTTCCAGACCTCCATACCTTGAAGAGGTGGAGGCCTACCAGCAGCAGCAAGTGCTGGAAGGCAGTGGCCTTGGTCTCTGAGGAGCAGGCCTCCAGTTCCTTCAGAGTCTTCAGCATCCTGGAGGAACAGGGGCACATTTGCAGGTCACTGCTGCCATCCAAATGGGGTATCCTCTCTCCCACCCCCAGAAATCCCATGCTCTCACTCATCCCAGGCCTGGCGCTGCTGCTTCGTGAAGGGTGTCACAATGGCTACGTTGCGGTTGTGGTTCAACAGGATGTCTGCAAACTGCACCAGGCGGTAGGTCCAGGGCCGCCAACCTTTGGCCTGGTCTGTTTGCCTGAACTTTGCACTGAGGGTCTGCAGCAGGCTGGGTAAAGGGGATTGGGGTCACAGAATGCACTAGCATACACAGCCCCTTTGGGCTCAGCCCCAGCCCTTGGACCCACCAGGCCTCTGCCCTTGTTCACAGCTTTGGAAAGAACAAGTGTCCCCAAGACCAACTTCCTGTCTCATGTCTCCTGAGCTGCCCCAGGCCTACCTGAAGAAGGTACTGATGATGACTTCTCGGGTCCGGTTGTCCAAAGGGAAAGAGAAAAGCTGCTTGGTTTCTGGGATCTGGGGTGTGGCCTTCTTTGTTTTAAAGAATGCATGGAATAGGCAAAACCTGGGGAGGACAACCAGCACTGGTTTGGCTAGGCTCCCCTTTTGGCTGCATCATGGCAGCAGTGACCATGAGGTGCCATTTCTCTGGCCTGACCTTCCAGCTGAGCACAAGTGACCTAAGTTGTAGGGGCACAACCAGAGTGCCCTCCCCTGGAGCCAAGACAGACCCCTGAACTACTACGGCTACTTCTCCCTTCTGGGTTCCACGCTTTGTGGGTCCCTTCCCTTCATAGGTTCCCAGGCATCTCTCTAGATCCCCCTGTGCCTGTTTACCACCACCACCACCACCTCAACCTGAAGACTTCTGGCTCCAGAGGGACTGAAACAAAGACCAGGCAAATGGCCTAACTCCTTGACCAAGGCACCCACAGGGAGGGAAATTCCTCTTGCACCTGGCCACTTGCTCAACCAAGGCCTCGTCCATCTCTAGATGCAGATGGTCTACAAGGCTGACCAGCCGGTGTACAATCCATTTCCGCAGTCGGAATGCAGCTCGTTCAGGCCTATGGAGCAAGAGATGAGGTCATAAGAGCCATTTGAAGATGGCAACAAAATCAGGGCACTCCTTTCCCTCATCTTGGCAGGACAGCCCCCAACAATTTCCAAGCACCTGTGAAGGGCTGAGGTCACCTTTGAAAACTAAGGCTCCTGCCCTCCCACTCCTGATTAGAGCCACGTCGCCATGGAAGAGCCTAGTGCACTGAGTGCCCAAATGCAGACTATCAATGTCTGCCTACGCACACATTAAATGAAGCATCCTGTGCTTTCTTCTGGTTGGTAGTGCTGAAGTCAACCAAGGAGTCCAGGTCAGGCTGGAGGAACATGTCCCGCAGCCAGGACACATAGCGCTGCAGGGCCTCAGCATTCAGAAACCGTGTGACACGCCAGAAGGTAGGCATGACAGGGAGACCTTGGTTGGTGATGGAAGAGAAGGCCACCAGCATGGCGAACTGCCGCTCAGGGTCATCCCGGCATCCCTCTAGGAAGGTGCCCACATATTTGCTCATTTCTGGGATGAACTTGAACAGGTTTTGAGGCTGCAAAAGATAAGCATGAGTTGGGGTCACCAGTGCAAGTAGGCTAGCAGCAGCCCCCTTCAACCCGTGCCTCTCCCACTATACGTTAAACTTGGTAGATTACTCCATGTACAGACAGGTCTAGCTTTGTCATGACTCCATCCAGGCCTCCATATCTTTGACCTTTTCAAATTTCCATACTCCCAGTCTCAGAAGGTCTCTCTTCTGCCTCAGTGGTTAAGGACAGGTTGCTTTCCTGATTTGATGTGGCAGAGGGAACCTAGGATCAAATCCTGCTGGGCCAGGCCCTTGCTTTGTCATCCTAGGGCTCAAAACTCACCAGTTTTCACATGCTTGCTATGTGTTAAACACCAGGCTACTTGTTTTCTAAGGACAACTCTTGGCACTAGGACCTTACTGTCACTGTTTTATGGATGGCATGTGTGTTTATTGTGTACCGGCCACAAAAGTGCTTAACACACTGGGGACAATAATCATTTCCATCACTGTAACCCCAGCAGGGAGTTCCAAACAGATGGTAAGTGCTGGAGAGTGGGTCTCAGGACCAAAGGGCCTGATCCGTCCAAACTCCTAAGTCCCTATTCAGGTTCTTAGTCTTGCCCTTTTGGGCAGTGCTGAACCACAAAGGGTGACACCTACCTTAGCAACGACCACGTGCTCCCCAAAATGGCGGATCAAGTCTCCCCGCATCACCAGCCTCAGCTGATCCTCTGACAGCAGAGGAAGAGATGCACCCAGCAGGCGGAAACACAGGTAGCTAAGAACAGAAAATACAGAGCCTGGTCAGAGCCCCTGTTCCCTCAAGTGGACTTTACGATAGGACCCACCCAGCGGTGGAACCCAGGAGGCAAGTGTCACACTCACCTGGATGCCCAGCATGGCTTCTTCAGCATCCCTTGCTCCACAACCTCCTTCCAGAACAGTGGAAACTTGTCTTCCTTAAGTGCCAGGCGGAGCAGGTCCAGAGCCACGTCTGGCAGCCTGTGCTCCTTCTTCACAGAGGTGGCTGCCATCTTCAGCACATTCACCAGACTGTGGAGGGCAGAGGGAACTCGGTGAATACCAGCTAGAGAACAAGGGTGTTGGGCTCCTGCAGGGAGAGCCCACCCACACTCTGCTCATACCTGGGAATATTTTCATCTGAGAACAGGTCAACTGAGCCCATCAGCGACTCCAGCTTTGCTGGCACCCTCCGCTGGGCCAAGAGGAATAGCTCCAGGTGTTTAGGGGAGCTGAGGACCACTTTCAAGTCACCCGTGAGTACCTTTGGCAGGATCTCCTCAAACATGGTCTCTGGGACCTGGGTGGGGACACAAGTGGAAAAAGGGTAGCTCTCTCCCAATATCTCTGGGCCCTGTTCTTTCTGTGGGCTTTTGATACGCTTCCAGTCAGAGGCAGGTCAGCCACAATCCAGCCTGCTAGGTACCAGACCGATCAGAAGGCACTGGTGAAAAAAAACCCAAAAGTTTCCTACTGGTGCCAACTGGCCTGATTAGGGGTTCAGTTTAAATTATTCCTCTTTTGGCTGGGTGTGGTAGCCTGGTCTACATAGTGAGTTCCAGGCCAGCTGGGGCTACAAGGAGACCCTGTCTCAAAAAGACCAAAAATAAATAAATAAATAAATACATTAAAAAATCATTCCTCTTTTTTGTTTTATCGAGGACCAGCCTACTTCTTATACAAGGAGCCCTACACAGAGACCTGGGACTTGAATTCTAGCCCTTCTGGCTTTAAGGCCGAGATTGTGCAGAAGGTCCCAGCCAGGGATGTTGTCAGCCCCTCCCTTTCTCTTCAGTGGCAATTCTAAAAACAGACCTTTCTCAGTCTCCCATGTAGAGTATGCAGAGCCAGCCTAAACCAAAATAACCATGGCAAATGTGTTTAACATACTGTCCATTTGCCAGGCACTATTCTAGACCAGCACTGTCGAACATGGACAAGCCACATGGGGCTATGGAGCACCTGAAGTGTTTAACCTAAATGGAGATGTGTGTAAACGCAAAAGACAGATTTCATGTCAAAAGGACTACAAAATACTTTCACAACCCTTTATCAGTTGCATGGTTAAACCACTTGTTCTAGGGTTCTTGTGCTACCTTGAGTCTTAAAGTCTTGACAGGCAGCCTGACCTGTGATCCCATACCTCAGAGAGGATGTCCACTATGGCCTTCAGTGGCTGCCCTTGTAGGTGGTTGTAGTGGTGGGTCAGGATCTTTAGTAACTTCACGGACTTCATCAGAGCCTCCTGGTCCTAGGATCCACAGAAAGCAGTGTGAGTAGGCATGCTACTATCTGCTCCCCACCACTCCTAAACCAGTCCCTGTGACCCCTATACCCAAGGCTCTTACCTTCACCAGGCGGCCAGACTGAAAGAGAGCTAGCACCCCAAACAGGTTTGCAAAGAGAGCAGGTCTCATCATTGCCTAGGAAAAGGATTCCAGGCACAAGTAAGGCGGGCCCAAGAACCGTGCACCCCTTGCTTTGCCACCCTCAGGCAAGCTGATCTGGGTGCGTCCGGGCTCACCTTCTTCACTTTTTGCAGATCATATTTTTCTTCTATCTGTTTCAGAATGCTGCACAAGGAGATGTTTTCAAAAGACTGCAACAGCTGCCAGGAATAGTGAAAGACCAAAGGGACTCGGGGGTGGCCCAAGTACCCTTCTCCCTTTAGCTTTTTCCCACACAGCCTTGGTCCCTCCTCCCACTCCAAGTACCCCTGTGAAGCTGCTCCTTTCCCTCAGTGGAAGTATTACGGTTGGATTCTATTCTGTGAATGGACCTGAATCTTGCCTCCCTGTCCCATCCCCACCAAGGCTTCAGAAGGTGCCTCCTTCACCCTGCCTCTGAGTCCCAGAAAGCCCACCCTATATTCAAGGGCTGCTCCTTCATTGCTCTTTGTTGAACAAATTCCTCAGAGTGGCCTCTAATCAGTTATGTTCCCTAGACTCGAAAGGGCCTCCAGCCTTGCAGAAGCCGCCGACCCCAAAGCTCACTGCTCCCAGTAAACTGTAGCTAATAGGCCCGTCAACTATGTACCAGGAAGAAAACTCCCTCAAATTTCCATCCTATCCACCTGGACTTTGTTGTACACGGGCCTTGCTTGGGCACCTTCTTCCACTCCACCCATGTGAGGATGCCTGTATCTGTTTAGGTGCCACTAGGACTCTCCCGCCCCTCGGCTGCGATGCCCGCCATCCTCAAACCTCCCCCTCGTTTGCCCAGCGTAGCCGCGCCCGTGCCCGCACCACCTCACCTGTGCCAGAGCCAGGCTGTAGCAGGGCCGAGCGGCTTCTCGGCCCACCCCAAGCCCAGTGATGAGACGCTTCAGGGCGTATTTCATCTCCGAACCCTAAGGAAGCAAGAGCATCCCTCGTGTTGGACAGTGAGAAGGCCCGCCCTCGCCTTCCTTGGCACCGGGAGTCGCGACCATGCGCTCTGGTCCTGGTCACCGGGCCCGTCCCCGCCACCCTACCGTCGGCCTGGTGCGCAAGTACTCCAGCAGCTTCTCCGTGGCCTCGAGCCGCGTCTCCTGCTGCGGTTTCGCGATGTCCCAGAAGAAGTCCAAGAACTCCCGGCTGTGCTCCAGCAGGCCATGGCGGTCGGCGTGCGGCGCTTCTCCGGAAGCCTCGGGCTCAGCCTTGGCAAAACCCTTCACCTCCGCCATGCTCGGCGAAACACGTGGGCTCGGAAGACCGCCTCTTCCAGGTCAGGTCCCGGCGCGTGCGCACTGGGCCAGCAGGCTGGGGGCGGGGCCGGAGTGGGCTGAGACACCCCACCCTTCCGCTCTTGGCGCTGGATCGGGACCAGATAGGGAGTTGGACGCTGTGTGCGGCGCTTATACGCGTGTCCTGAGGGTGCTGCATCCGCCCCTTACCCACAGGGGCGGTCTTGACGGCCCACCTCGTTAGTCAAATCAAAGCAATGGCCATCTAGCTGCCACACTCCCAGCGTCTCTCATCCAGCCATTCCACAAGACTGTGCTCTCTTTGTGCTGAGCTAGGGTTGGGAGAACAAAGCTACGGCTTCCGTGGACTTCCTTTCTAGTAAGAGATGACTGATGAACAAGTAACCAAATACATTTTAAAAGATAATTATGAAGAAAATAGAGAGGAAATAGAGGCCAAAGGAGTCCTCCCTCAAATTTTCAAATACATCACTTGTTTAACATCTTGCTAATTAAAAAGAAAATTCAGTAGGTTCTAAGATGCTATTGGAGGGGGTGGTCACCTCGATAAGACTGTGTCATGCAGACTTACAGCTGAGGGAGAATTTAGTTTCCCTCAGGGCAAAAATCTTAAGAGCAGATAAAACGCCCAGCCGAAGACACTGCTTCTAAAAAGACCCTTCTCTAACCCCTAGAGATGAGGGGGAAAAGGCCAGCGAGGGGGGCAGGTGCAGGGAAGCCCTGTTGTGTAGAAACCCAGGCCAGGGTCAAGAGTTCAGACTTCTTTCTGAGTGTGCTGCGAAATTACTGGTGGGCTTTTCATCAGATTTACATTTTAAAAAGATCCTCTGGTAGCTGAGTGGGGGATGGACTGTGGCTGGCAGAAGTAGGTGCCGGGGAGAAGAGCGATCACGATGAATTGGACAAGAGTCAGACCTTGGGCTAACCTGGAGCTGATCAGGATGGGTGATGGACTGGGTCAGGGGAGGGGACTAGAGATGATGCCAGGCTAAGGGCTAAAAGAACAGGGTAGGTTGTGGAATCATTATGGAGCCTGTGGGATTTTGTTTGAGACAGAAGTGGAGATGATAAGATCAGGTGTTCTAATAGTTTAGGTTTGAGGATGTGTGGTTAGGGCCTGCCAAGAGTGCCAAGGCTCTGGGTTTGACCACCAGCACAGCAAAACAGAACAATTAGCCAAGGCTCATGGTGGTGCATGCCAGTAATCCCAGCACCTGGGAAGCCCAGGCAGGAGAATCTCAGGTGTAAAGTCAGACTGCATAGTGACTGCTTTAAGAAACAAAAATCTAACCAGGTGTGGTGGTGCATGCCTTTAATCCTAGCACTAGGGAGGCAGAGGCAAGGCGATCGAGGCCCGCCTGGTCTACGCAGTAAGACTGTTTCAAAACAAAAACAAACAAAAAAAGCAAAAAAAAAAAAAAAAAAAAATTTTTACCATCTTTTCCCTGCACACCAGACTACTCTTAGTCAAGAACAGTTGTGAACCCCAGGGTAAACCCATCTCTGCTCTCCTGTTATAAAATCTATTAAATCAGAGTTGTCCTTTACTCTGTGGAGGAGGGGAAGTGTTGTTGACCATCCTTGCCCCTTGACTTGAGGAAATGTGTCTAGAGGGTTGTATCCAAGAGATCTCAGCCCTGAAGGTGAGGTCAGGGCCAACTTTGGCCTTTAAATTCCACACACCCAGTTCCAGCCGGATTGTACCCCAGGGCACCCCCTCCTGACTCTCTCAACCCTTCTCTGCTCTGCCATCTGTTCTAGAAAGTAAAACTAAGAGATTTACTTTGCGCAGATGGAAAACCAGGAAGAAGAAGGTGGGCAGAGCAGGGCGAAGCGGAAAGACAGCAGCCCAACCTCTGCTTGCCTCTGGTATTCATTGTGGGGGAAGCTGTGACATCAGGGGCCTCAAAGGCTAATGGGAAATTAACCAAAAAGCAGAAATGGCACTTGGCCCCTGGAAGATTTGGACTTTATTCATTTCCATTCCAGTTGAGAGAGATCAGGGGAGAATGATCAATGGAAGATAGAGATGAGATGTCCACCCCTGCCCCATGGACCAGAATCTAGGCAGGGGCTGGCATTCCTCCAGTCATCCTTCTAGATGAATGGGGCTCTTATTACCTTCTAGTTCCATAGCTGATAGAAGAGCCAGAAATTCCACGCAGGTACCAGGAAACATGGTTGAGCTAGCCCTGGATGCCAGAGCTAGAACCAGGTAACTGAACAGGGTGGAGGTCAGGCTGATGGAGCAGAGAATACATCACCGATCACATTCTATATACATTCATTGCTGCTGGGCCTTCTCTGCTCTGGCCCTCAGGTTCCATACGCTTCTGTCCTCTCCAGACCCTGTCCCTCTTTTAATACCCCTGGAAGGGACAGCAGCCACTGGGGACACTGGAGACATAGGCATGTTCTGCATGGGCTACCACCTGGAGTAGGGTCCCTTGGCCGCAAATGCCAGGCCTCTCTGTTGGTCCTTGTTGGGCTTGATGCTGGGGCTGCTGTTGGATTTGGGCTTGGGGCCCTGCGAGATGACTGAGTAATGTTCGAGTCATGGCTTTGGCCACCTTGGGGGTTCCTGAAGTCACCAGCCCCAACGTATCAGCCTCTGTGTCATCCAGGCCATGGAGAATGAGTGGGCAGGCCCAGGCACTAGGTGCAGACCTGACTACCAAGTTGCTGAGCAGAACCCCAGTGCTTGGGGACAGGTGTCCAGAGCCAAAGGAGCTGTTGATTGAGGAGGTAAGAAGGAGCATAGAGCCGCTGCTGTCCACGGTGGCCAGAGCGCTGCTCATGGGGGTCACAGCAGTCTGTAGGAGTGGTAGGCACAGGTCAGGGTGGGGTATCTTGGAAGTCAGGGCTTCTTCCAACACTGCCAACAGTTCTGGACCAGCTGAGGGACCAGGAGTGGTGAACAGGACACCCTGGGGTATGAGAAGCTGTAGTGCAGGTTCCAAGGTGGGCATGGGGTAAGCAGAGGGCTTCTCTAGCCCCAGGTCTCTGACCAGCAGACTCAGCAGGGCATCCCCAGCAAGATCTGGACTGGAGGCTAGGGCTGCCTGGTGCAGCACAGCTGCCAGGTTGGGGTTAGTGGCTTGAGCCCCAAGACCCAGCGGGGTCCCATCTGCGTGACAGAGCAGTGGACAGAGGCCCTTTGTGCCCTGGGCTGCTAGAGCACTTGCCAGAGGTGCATCCACCTCGAAACCCTTTTGAGCCACCATGGTGGGGTCCACTAGCAGGCGTGGCCAGGGCAGGTGGCCAAAACGTCCATGAAGCAAATGCAGGGCTGGCAGAGCTGAGGGCAGCCCCAGGCCAGGGGCCAGGGTTTGGACTGGACCTGCTGTCAGGGCAGTTGAGGTTCCTGAGGAGCTATTGTAGAAGAGGCCCCAGAACATGGCACCTAGGGGGGAGACAAAGGGACCACACAGGGGTCAGGGGTACTGGCACTGGGGTCAGGGTTCCCTAACAGTCCCAGATGAAGGATCATTGACTTGCTTGCAATTAAAGTTACTGACCAGGCCTGGGGTCATAGGTCACAGACTAGGATTGGGGCCAGTGCTCAAATCTTAGTCCTGCTTTCTCAGTGAGGGCCATTGACTGCTGGGGTTCCAGATCACTGACTAGGCCCCAGTTTGAGATGGCTGTCTAGGGCCATGGGTTACACTGACCTAGACCTGTTGAGTGAGGATGTACCACCGCCAGACACAAAGCTGCTCCAACTCCAGCATCCACGACATTGCCCCCAGCAACAAGAAGCTCTTGACCCAGCTGGGAACATATGGCTGCAGTAAGGAAAGGTCTAGAATGGGAAGGGGCCCTGGGACACTGACCCCTAGCCCCTTTCCCAAGCACTGACCTGAAGGGCTGATTATGGCGCCATGGTGGTAAACACCTGGGCGATGGGAGTGCCTGCTGACAGGAGGGCTCACAGAGCCTAAGCTTCCCTCTGGGTTGTCCCTACTGTACAGTTGCCTCACAGCAAGGGAGCAACTAACAGTCAGCAGTAGTAGGCCTCCCAACAGGCGGGCCCAGGCTCCGGGCAGCCAGCCAACCTTGTTCCTGCAGAAAGGGGTATCCTGAGCCAGGTATAGGGTGGCGGGGGGGATACCCAAGAGCCCCAAAAGAATCCAGAGAATGTTTCCCCAAAGGGTTTGATTTTGCAAGAGTACAAGTTTGCCAAGTAGGAAAGAGATTTCGGGGCCAGGGCACCATATCAGCAAAGATTCACAGGTAGGAAAGGGCTGGAGGAAACTGAGGCCAGCTTGGAGTGTTTACAGAGTTCGGGGAGTCAGGGGCCAGTCAGTTGGAGAGAGGTCTGGAGGGGTTTGGTAGTCAGGAATAAAGAGGCTGAGCAGCACGGCTCAGTCAGGTGTAGCCGTGTCCCAACCTGCTCAGCAGGTGCTCTAGCGTGGGGGTGGGGTGAAGGCTGGGAATCTATGACACAGTTGGGACAGGATAGGGACTGTCTTAGTAAAAATGTCCCTTCAGAAACACAGGCCTTTGATTGACTGACTCAGTTCTGCACTGAGCCTACAGCCCAGGCCCCCCGACTCCCTCATTCATCCAGAAAGTCCCTGGAGCTTAGCCAAGTGTGGGGTTGCCTGGCCTAGTTTAGGGGCTCCAGAGACAGGACTCTGCAGCCTTCCAGCCTGAATTGTGGGGTTCCCAGACCCCTGACTGACTCACCTGGGGGTGTCTTGGGGTCTCCTGGGGGAGAGGACCAGTGGCTCTGCTATCTCTTCCTCTTCTTCTTCATCCTCTGACTCCATGCCAGGCTCCCAGAGCTGCAGCTTGTGGTAGAGCACGGGCTCTGCGGTGGTAGCCATGGCCTGTGCTTCCTTCCCCAGCTTTCTGCCGCCAGCCCTGACAGCTGAGACTGGGGCCTTGCCCGGTGGGCGGGCAGGCGGGCTGTGATAGATACAGGGTGGCCTTGGGGAAGGGTGTTGGCAGGATAGAGAACTGGTCTGGGCAGGGTGGGGCCAGGGAGGCTACTGTGAGCCTGCCCTATTAGGACACAGGGACTGTCATGAAGGTTCCCCATGGGACTGCCTGACAGACCTCACAGCTCAGCTAGGTTAAGGATATGGTCAACACTACAGCCATAGACCTTGGGGTGTGGTTGAGGGACCACCTGCCCCCTTCTTCCTTCAAGGAGCAGCTCCTGGATCCCTAACTTACTCAGGTCTCTAGGGACTGTGAATTTGAATTAGAACTTCGGTTACAGGATGGCCTGGGTGGTGACTTGGCACCAACCAGGTAATATTGTTGGGGGTGTGGCCTCCAGGTGGGGTCATGGTCCAGCCCGAGGCTGCTCTGAGGTCTGAGAACAATTTGGGTGGTGTGTCACCCTTGGGCATGCCATGAGGCTCCTGTCCAGCAGGTGGCACCAGATACCTCTATGGGGAAATAATCTGGAAAATGTGTTTCCAAATTCTTTTTCCCTGGAATTCATATCAAGGACCTGTTCCTGGGCAAAGCTGGGTGCTGTTTGGAACAGCCCCACATTAGAAACTGCTTAAACACACGTTGTCAGCAGAACAAATGGCATAAACACCATTTAGTCAATGGGATATTTATAGTAGAGCTACAATTATATGCAATACTATACGTGGATCTGAAGAGGCCAGACAAGGTATGAAGCCAGGCATGACTAGTCTGCCTTTGGAAGTCAGAGCATGGCTGGAGGAGGGAATAGAGACAGGGTGCCTGGGAAGCTGGTGATGTCTTTTCTTATCTTTTTGGACTATTGCTAATGTTTATTAAATAAAAAGTGGTTTTTCTTTGGTTTTCTTATTTAAAAATTTTTATCCCATTTATTTATTTATTTACTTATTTATTTTTTGTGTGTGTATATGTGTGTGGGCACCGATGTGCCATGGTTTAGGTGTGGAAGTCAGAGCACAGCTTTCAGAGTTGGTTCTCACCTACTATGTAGGTCCCAGAGGTCAAACACAGTTAGTCCTGGCAGCAAGACTTAGGCCTGCTGAGTAATCTTGCTGACCTTTAAATTAATTAATTAATTATTATTATTATTTTATTTTTAAAATTTTATTTATTACTTTTATTTTATGTATATGTGTGTATTGTCTGCATGTAGGTAAGTGCACCCATGTTATGCAATGCCCACAGAGGACAGAAGAGACTATCGGATCTGGAGTTACAGACAGTTGTTAGCTGCCATGTGGGTGCTGGGATTCGAACCCGGGTCTTCTGCAAGAACGGCGTGTTCTTAACTGCTGAGCTGTCTCTCCAGTCCCCTAATTTTTATTTATTTGATTAATTAATTAATTAATTAATTTGGTGTTTTTAAGACAGGATCTCCCTGTAGCCCCAGCTGGTCTGGAACTCACTACATAGACCAGGCTGGCCTTGAACTCACAGAGATCTGCCTGCCTCTGCCTCCCAAATGCTGGAATTAAAGGTGTGCGCCACCACACCCGGCCTAATTTTTATTTTTTAAAATTTATTATTATTATTATTATTATTGGTCTTTTTGAGACAGGGTCTCCCTGCAGCCCCAGCTGTCCTGGAACTCACTATGTAGACCAGTCTGGCCTTGAACTTGCAGAGATCTGCCTGCCTCTGCCTCCCAAGTGCTGGGACTACAGGTGTGCGCCACCACACCCGGCCTCTAATTTTTATTTTTTCATATGAGTATTTACCTGCATGTATGTAAGAGAACCACGTGGGTTCATGCAGTGTCTGCAGAGGCCAGTAGGGGGTGTCAGAACCCCTAGAGCTGGAGATAGGAACAGTTGTTAGCCACTATGTGAGTGCTGGGAGCCCAACTAGTGTCCTCTGGAAGAGCAGTCCGTTCTCTTAACCTCTGAGACATCTCCCAGCCCTTCTTCTTCTTCTTTTTTTTTTTTTTTTCAAGACAAATGGGTCTTCTGTAAGCCTAGGCTGCCCTCAAACTCTGTAGCCAAGAATGGCCTTGAATTTCTGATCCTCTTGCCTCCAACTCCCAAGTGTTGGGATTACAGGTGTGCATTATCTTGCCTGGCTTAAGGAAAAGTTTAATATGACACTGTGTATGATTTAATCTTTGTGTAAAGCAGGTCCTTTGGAGACAGGGTGTGGACTCCTCAGCTGGATAGCTGTTATTTGTAATTGTTGCAAGGTTTCTAACATGGTGAAACTGTCTTCTTGTATCACCACTGTTACACTAGCTGGCATAAAATTCATAAAGAGATCAAGTTCCGGACATATTCCATGGGTATGTCTACCACCTTTGAACTTCACTGACGGATAGCTTAAAAAAAATGTGTGTGTGTGTGTCTGTGTGTCTGTGTCTGTCTGTCTGTCTGTCTGTGTAGGTAGACTCAGAGGCCAGAAAAGGGCATCAGATCCCCTGGAACTGGAATAATGGGTGGTTGTGAGCTGTCTGATGTGGAGGCTGGGAATCGAATTCAGGTCTTCAAGAAGAGGAGCAAGGGCCCTTAACTGCCATCCCTCCAGCTCCCATAGTTTCTTGTCTGTCAAGTTTTCACCTCAGGAGGGACTTTACTCTTGTTGTGACTGGGTGGGCTCAAAGCTGATGTCTGTTTGTTGACTTAGGTGTTGGTTACATGGGTATGGCCATTGTGAACATGAGTCAAGCAGCACATTTATGACACCTGCATTTTTCTGTATGGATGTGTATTTCAGTTAAAAACCTCAAGTGTTTTTATATTAACAGCAGCCATATCTCACAGAAGTTGAGAATAGAATAGTGGTTACCAGAGTTTGGAGACGGGGAGGGCAGGATGGGGTCAGTGGGTGCTAAGTTACAACTAGGCCTCAAGGCTCCAGTGTGTTATTGCACAGTAGGGCAACAAGTGGTAACAGCTGTGTACTGTACCTTTCATTCATTCGTTCTCTCCCTCCCTTTCTATCTACTTTTTTAGACAGAGTCTCTGCATGTAGTCTAGGCTGGTCTCTAATTTGTGATCCTCCTGCCTCAACCTCCAGAGTGCTGGGATTATAAGTGTGTGCCACCACATTTCAAAAAACTAGAAGAAAGGATTTTGAATGTTTGCACGACAAAGAGATGATAAATGTTTGCAGAAATAATGATGCATACATGTATCCCAAACATCACATGGTACCTTAGTGATATTTATTATTTTTATGTGTATCAGTGTATTGTCTACATGTATGTGAGTGCACCCATGTTGTGCAATGGCCATGGAGCTCAGAAGAGGATGTCAGATCCCCTGGAACTGGAGTTATGGATGGCTGTTAGCTGCCATGTGGGTGGTGGGAACTGGACCCAGGTCCTCTGCAAGAGCAGCTAGTACTCTTAACCGATGGGCCAGAGGCAGGTGGATCTCTTCTCTATGAAATGGAGGCCAACTTGGTCTACGCAGTGAGTTCCAGGCCAGCTGGGGCTACAGGGAGACCCTGTCTCAAAAAAAACAAAGACAATAACAATTTTTAAAAAATGCTGGGTACAGTAGCACATGCTTATAATCCCAGAACTCAGGAAAATTCAAGCAAGAATATTACATGATCAAAACCAGCCAGGGCTACATAGTGAGATCCTGTCTCAAAGGTCAAACATCAATTGAAAATAAAAAAGAACAAAACCACCCAGCACAAAGTCATCCTTTCATTGCACAGGCTTCTGCTTCTGCAACTGCCTCCCTTCTTCTGGCCTCTTCATTAGCAAGTACAAAGGTCTGTAATTTTTATATCAGGACTGCCAGGGATGCCTGCTCCATCCCCAGGGATTCAGACTCTAGATTTGGGGTAAAGACCAGGAATTTGCTTTCCTAATGCCCAGTGATGCTCATAGCACAATTCTGGAATTACACTTTTTTTTTTTCCTTTCTGAGACAGGGTCTCCCTTGGTAGCCCAGGCTGGCCTCCCACTCATAATCCTTCCTTGGCCTCCTAACTGCTGGGATCACAGCTGTTCACCACAATGTCTGGCTGGAAGGGTACTTTGAGAGTACCTGTCTGCAAAAATTCATGTCACCTGCTCTTTCTACTTCTTTGGCTCCCCCCTTTCCCCTCCTCAGCCTGTTACAAGCTGATTTCTGTCCCTAAGTTACCAGAGAAACTTCCGTTTCCAAGTTTCTGGATTTCTTAGACCAATAAAAACCAAACAAACAAATCAACCAACCAACCAAATGGAGACAGCAGCAAGAGCTGATACCTTCTAATTTTGCCAGTGTTGGAGAGATTGCAGTGGCTAACTGCTCTGGTTACATAAACTAATGTATTGTACTTTCTGTCAGAACACTGTGGGAAGTTTCGAATCTCAGAATGAAAGCCAGTTCTTCCTTCTTAAGAAAAGGAAGCTAGGGAGTGGGAGAAAAATTTGTTTTGTTTTGTTTTGCCTTTTTGGGGGGATCTTTTTGAGATAGGGTCTCCATGTAGCCCCAGCTGGCCTGGAGCTCACTATGTAGACCAGGCTAGCCTCTATCTCACAGAGGAATGCTGGGATTAAAGGTGTGCACCACCACACCCATGTAAAATTATGACCACATTTTAATCCACAGATACTTGTGAGCTGAAGTTCCCTGGAAAGGTGGCGTGCAGAGGGGGTGCAGACAGTGAGTAGGTGCAAGTGCAAAGAAGAACCGTGTCTAATGCTCCTTGGTGCAGAATAGCCATGGCTGAAGCTAGTATTTCAAGGCAGCTAGTGGAGGTGATTTTTTTCTTTTTTTGGTCTTTTTGAGACAGGGTCTCCCTGTAGCCCCAGCTGGCCTGGAACTCACTATGTAGACCAGGCTGGCCTTGAACTCACAGAGATCTGCCTGCCTCTGCCTCCTGAGTGCTGGGACTAAAGGTGTGTGCCATCACACCCGGCTTTGTTTTGCTTTTTAAATTTTTAAAATTT